AGGATTCTGATCCTTTTGTATAATAGTTTCTTTATGTCTGTGTTCATTTGGAATTGTAGAGGGGTTGGCAAGAAGGGATTTGCTAATCTTATTAGGGATTTAAAATCTCGTTTCAGAATTGATATTCTGGTATTGTTAGAAACTCGAGCTAATGGCTTGAAGGGGGATGAGATCAGTAAGCATTTTGGCTTTCCTAGGATTTTTAAAAAAGAGGCTATTGGCTATTCAGGGGGAATCTGGGTCCTTTGGGAGGATAGTGTGGTTCAGGTGGATATTCTGGTAGCTTATCATCAGTTTGTGCATACTAGAGTAACCCACTTGAAGAATTTGAGGACAGAAGTCATTACCTTGGTGTATGGTAGCCCTAGAAGGATTGAAAGGAGACTTTTGTGGACTGAGCTGGAGACTATCAGTCAGGCCATTCAGGAACCCTGGCTGCTACTTGGTGATTTCAACTCTGTGCTCCATGCTTCTGAGAAGACTGGTGGTAGTACGGTGTGCTGGGAGAGCATCTCTGAGATGCAGCAATGTCTCTTAAAATGCAAAGTTCATGACATGGGGTTCAAGGGTCTTGAATTTACATGGAAGAGAGGGAAGCTTCATGAGAGAATTGATAGAGCTTGCTCCAATGAAGTTTGGAATATTCAGTGGCCTAGTCGAGTTATTTCCCATCTACCTTTCTTCAATTCTGACCACAGGCCCTTGCTCCTAGCCCAAACTGACTTTGCTAGGCCTAAGGAGAATACCAGGACCTTCAAATTTATGGCTGCTTGGCTCACTGATCCTAATTTTGGGAGTTTGGTGGAGAATAACTGGATCAGGAATAAAGAGTGGGTCCATGCTAGGAACGATTTTGAGAAGGATGTCTTAATCTGGCATCAAAATGTGTTTAGAAGAAATATGCAACAGAAGAACAAAATCTATGCTAGGCTGAGGGGTTTGGACAGCTATATGTATGGTAGGTTTGACCACAACCTGGATCTTCTGCAAAAAAAATTATGGAAGGAGTTACAGAATATCCTTGCCAAGGAGGAATTAACCTGGTTCCAACGGGCTAGGTGTAACTGGCTCAAGTATGGAGACAAAAACACTAGGTTCTTCCATGCTTCAACAGTTATTAGAAGGAGATACAATAGGATTTTAACTCTTAAGGATGACACGGGTAACTGGATAGCTGACCCGGATGCCTTAGTCCACATGGCTGTGAGCTACTACCAGAACCTGTTCAAGGCTGAGAGTCCTGATGATGGTTTTTTTCCTATCCAGGGTATGTTCCCTAGATTGTCTGAGATTGAAAGGAATCAATTAGGTCTGGTGCCTAATAGAGAGGAAATAAGGAGGATTGTGTTTAAGATGGGAAAATTCAAGGCTCCAGGTCCGGATGGATTGTATGCAATCTTTCTGCAGAGTCAATGGAGTGTGGTTGGGGAATCTGTTTGTAATCTGGTTCAAGATTGCTTTCAGACACCTGAGAAGGTCAAGGAGATAAACAATACTTACATTTGTTTGATCCCCAAGAGAGAAAGTCCTGAAAGTATGAAGGACTTCAGGCCTATTAGCCTTTGTAATGTTGTCTACAAGATCATTACAAAAACTGTGTCTGATAGATTGAGAAATCTTATGCCTAAATTAATTTCTCCCAATCAGAGTAGTTTTATCTATGGGAGACAAAGTGTTGATAACATAGTGGTGGCCCAAGAAGTGATTCACTCTATGAGGAATAGGAGAGGCAGGAAGGGTTGGATGATGATAAAAGTGGACCTTGAGAAATCATATGATCGGCTTAGTTGGAGCTTTGTGAGGGAGACTGTAAAGGATCTTGGCTTTCCAAGTTCTCTTTGTGACTTGATCCTCAGTTGTATATCCTCCACCACTTTTAACCTGCTTTGGAATGGGGTAGCTACTAAAGGAATTATCCCAGAAAGAGGGATAAGACAGGGGGATCCCCTCTCCCCTTATTTGTTTGTCCTTTGTATGGAGAGGCTTGCACATCTTATTCAAATGGCTGTGGAAGTCAAGGCTTGGAAACCTGTTTTGCTCAGGAAGGATGCTCCCCCTTTATCACACCTCTTCTTTGCTGATGACATAATTCTATGTGCTGAAGCGAGTCTTGATCAAGCCCACATAATTAATCAGGTCCTCAAAGTTTTCCATGAAGCATCTGGGCAGAAAGTGAGTAGGGATAAAACAAGAGTGTTCTTTTCGAAGAATGTTTGCTTCAATAAGGCTAAAGAGATCAGTGACTGCCTGGGAGTCTCTATCACTTCTGATCTGGGGAGCTATTTGGGGATCCCTCTACATCATAGGAGAGTGACAAGAAATGCATTCACATATGTGCTTGAAAGAGTGCACAAGAGATTGTCTACCTGGAACCAAAGTTCCTTATCTCTTGCAGGTAGATCTACTCTGGCTAAGGCAGTTTTGGAAGCCCTTCCTGCTTATACTATGCAATCCGTTAATTTGCCCATTAGTGTTTGTAAAGAAGTTGAGAAGCTCACAAGGAGTTTTTTATGGGGATCTAGTCAGAACCAAAGGAAAACCCACCTGGTCAGTTGGAACAGGGTGTGTCAGTCCAAGAAGAGAGGGGGATTGGGTCTTAGGGACCAAGTTAAAGTTAATAAGGCTTTTTCAATGAAGCTTGGCTTCGGACTTATGAGCAAACCTGAAGATCTCTGGGTTCGGATTTTGAAGTCCAAGTATAAAGTGGAGAAAGGTATGATTCCAAACCTTGCCATTTGTAGGAACTCTTCGAATACATGGAGAGGAATACAACAAGTTTGGGGACAGGTTCAGGCCGGATCTAGGATCCACTTAGGGGATGGCAGAAGCATAGACTTCTGGAAGGACAGTTAGCTCCCTGGATAGGGTAAGCTAATTGAGTATGTGCAGGTTGTTATTCCTAGAGAGGAGTCCAATTGGAAGGTGGCTGATTATGTCTTAGAGGGGGGAGGTTGGAATTGGGAACTCTTAGAGCATTTCCTCCCAGATGAGCTGTTACCTATGGTAGCTGTTGTTCCTGCTCCGAAGCCCTCTGATGGCAGGGATATGGTTTTGTGGAATCACTCATCTTCTGGCTTGTTCACTGTCAGCTCAGCCTATGATTCCCTGTGCTCTGTTCAAAGCAACCTGAAATTTGAAGACTGGAACCTTATCTGGAGATGGGAGGGGCCTCAGAGGATCAAAGTCTTCTTATGGTTGCTTTTTGGCAACAAAATCCTCTGCAATGCTGAACGGGTGAGAAGACACATGGCAGACAATGCTAGTTGCCCAAGATGTCATCATGTGATAGAAGACAGGGATCATTTATTCAGATCTTGTAATTGGGCTAGGGAGGTTTGGAGGCACTGGGTTAATCCCAACATGAACACCCTGTTCTGTAGTGGCAGTTTTGATAACTGGTTGAATGTCAATATGAAATCCAGGACTCACAATGCTGATTGGGCCCTCAGTTTTGGTGGGGTCTGCTGGTATATGTGGAAGGATAGGAATAAACTTATCTTTGAAGGTACTAGTCTATCTCCTTATGATTTCTATCAGCAGGTGGTTGTTCACATTATGCAGATCAAGGCTGCAAGTAAGATGCTGATGGTTGCGGGTTTGAATCTGGAGCCAATTCGAGAAGTCTGGGTCAATTGGAAGCCTCCTCCACAAGGATGGTTAAAGATTAATGTGGATGGATCTTGTAGAGACAGTGGCACTAATCTAGCTTGTGGTGGAGTTGTGAGAGATGGAGATGGTAATTGGATCACTGGATTCTCAAAAAAAGTTGGTTATGGTACGGCTTTGATGGCTGAATTGTGGGGCATTTTGATTGGCCTGGAATGAATTTGGAATAATAATTACAGAGATGTTATGCTGGAGGGGGATTCTCTAGTGGCCATTCAATTGGTTAAGGAGGGATGTGTTGAGTCTCATCCTTGTTTTTCTTTGGTAAATAGAATCAGGAATTTGATGGAAGCCCATTGGTTTGTGAATATTATACACATATATAGAGAAAGCAATAGTGTTGCAGATTGGCTAGCCAAACTTAGGATTGATGACAGTTGGGATATTCACTGGTTTTCTTCTCCTTTGGATGGGTGTAGGGACCTTGTCTTAGAGGATTGTAGGGGCATTTTGCCCAGCTATGTTGCGGTGTAGCCTTTTTCTGTCTTAATTTCCTTTGTAATCCAAAAAAAAAAAAAAAGTTACACACGTATCTGGGATATAATTAGATTCTGAATTTTAATTTTATGCAAAAATGCCATATATATTATCATGTGCATCCTATATTATCATGCCATATATTTTATCAGTATAATTAAATTCTTTTTTTATATATAAATTTAAAACCAACATGGGAGACAAGTAAGCTTTAGAACCTCAGCGATTTTTCCCTTTTGTGACTCTATGAAGTGCATTTAATAATGATCTATTCTATGTTTTATAATGTCTACGAACATTCAGCTTTATGGCAGAAATGATTGGGGGTTCGATGAAGAATTTCCTGGAATTATGATTGCTAGATGATATGTTTTATCTTGGCAAACGTGTACTGATTAATGATGATGTGCTTATGTTATTTGGAAAAATTTCTTGTGCTGAATTGTATGAGCAGTCCTAGCCAGGCTCAGAGGAAAAGGATCTGTCTTATGAATTATATTCCTGCGTTAAGTTCACCCAGATCTCTTTGGAAAATTCCTATATTGGATTGAGTCTCGGGGAAACATAAAAGACAAGTGTTAGTTTAATGAAAGTCAAGATGTTGAATTATGTTTTATTCTTAACGAATTCTGATGCAAGGCATACTGGCATAGAATCCAAATAAATTAAATAAAGAATTATAAAATATATCACATACATTAAAAACACATTGCATACATTTTGCTATGTCTTAGCTTTTTAAATTTAAGGAAAAATAGAGTTTTTACAAATGTTAAAACCTTATAGCTAGGAGTTTTAAACTTACAAAAAAAAAAAATGAATTTAATTATACTAATAAAAAAAAACGTCCTCCTATGAGTACCAACATGGTAAAGGGTAGACATGGTAATATATATGGCATTTTTTTTGGTTTTGAGAACAAATTCCAACATGTTAATCATGAGGAATGCTGTAACAATCTACCGCACAATTTAAATCTGATTATGAGTTAGATGTTTAAACTGTCAATTTAGCCTGGCCTATAAAACAAAACTAAATCTACCTAAATACAAAAAGTAGATCTAGAAGGCCTCAGTGAGCGTTTAAGGTTTGATTCATAGTTGATAGTACCGCTAAGGTTCTGAAATATAAAGCATTTCAAAAATTTGGAGCACCAAGTGTGCGAAGGATGTGGTTCTTGGTTTCAGCAAAGGAAGCCTGGGTTATAGTCAAGCTCCTGAAAGAAAAAAGAACAGAAGCAACAATAAATTGATATATAATTAATTCCCAGACACAGGAAGGATCTACCATTCACACCCAATGAGTACCAACTATGAAATAATAAGAACAATACAAGCACTTGATGAACGTCATTGACAGAATCAACTTTCTCTTTCCCTTTAAGAACCACAGCAAGCAGATTTTTGGGCGGCTTGAGCAGACCCTGCTCCCTGGTCTGGTTGGTTAATCTTGAGTGCCTGGGGCTGCAAAGAACCAAATGAAAAGTTGGTGTAAAAATGATGAGACAATTAAATTTAGAAAGGGCCTTCTGATTCAACCAAACATACACCCCTATGGTCTAAAACTGAAAATCAACTATATCAAGGATGAGTCTTGCATTATTCAAATAGTTGGCAATCAGAAAATGATGCAAATATCAATTGTCAGGAGAAAGTTCAAAAGAAAAACCTCAGCCTTTGAGTCACTATCTGCAAGTCTTTGTTTGATGTCCCGAGCTATTGAAAAGAAAACCTCATCCACATGCATATTAGTTTTTGCACTCTGTATAAGCATATTCTCAGCATTAAAAACAGATCAGTGACTTCGGATGATATGTTATTTCAACAAGAGCAATAAGTGACACTTACAGTCTCGAAAAACTTGATGCCGTATTCATCTGCCAGAGCTTGACCTTTTGAAGTTGGAACAGCCTAAGGAGAATATTGTCCAGCATCAAGTAGGGCATAGTAACCATAGGAGACACATGTACAAGCATAACCAAAAAGATGGACAAGAGTGAGAATGAGTGGGAGACAAACTCTTTTGCTTTCATCCATGTCAGCCTTGTTCCCAACTAATATCTTGTTGACATTGTCAGAAGCATGTTGCTCAATGTTGCGAATCCAATTCCTGATGTCTAAACATGAGATGAAATAAGTCTAGTTGTAATATCTGAAAACCCATTCAAAGCACTGGAATCTCCCCAAATTATAAAGTTGAAAATTAGAGTTTATAGAAAAAATACATGTTCCACGGTAATAAGAAAACACGCATTGGAGGAGATTAAGTATGTTGGGGAAATAATAAAAGATGCACTGTTTAAAACTTAAGAGCTAAAGGAGGAAGGAGAACTTACTGTTAAAAGAAGACTCATCAGTAACATCATACACAAGCAAAATACCCATGGCTCCACGGTAATAAGCTGCAAAAGAAGGATTAAAAACATGTGACAGAAGCTTCAAAATTTGCATGTTTGAAACAGTAGTGGTTGTCAATTGATATCATGATATGTAATGATATTACAAAGTAACACCCTACACTAAATTATTACAGCGGGGACAACACAGAAGATCCAACTACTTGTCAAGACTGATAAGCCCAGAATTTTTTAAACAATACCTAAAACCAACCTAATGAAGAAATCCAGCACATACAATAATACTAAACAAGCATTTGATTTCAATACAGCCAGCGATCTTAGAAGGATAAAAGACCACCAAGTCCAATCAAGTGCATTAGACATTTAAACTGGCAATTAAAGTTTTACTCACCAAGTCAAAGCAGACTGGTTTACAAAAAAATTGTTTAGAAATTTAGAGAAGAAAGGGAAATCTATTTTCCTCGCTCAATATTAGCCAAACTACAGTCAATGGTCCCAAAGAAAATACAGTTCCTCTTGAGCTACGCAAAGCACCCTGTCCAATATAACACCCAGGTAAAACAACTAAATAGTTAACAGGAAATATAATCCACATTCCACAACGAAAATCACCGAGGACAAAAAGTATTATTAAAATCTATTATTTAAATTAGGACCTATCCAATTTCAAAGAACAAAAGGACACAATAAGTAAATAGCAGTTAATATTAACATCATGACAAGTACACATTACACATAAAAGTATTTATAAGTTGGATATAAAGAACAAAAATTGAGATCTCACCAAAAAATGTAGTTATAACTGGGAGGAAAAAAAAAAACACTTTCAATCTCGAATACTAACCAGTTGTAATAGTTCGAAACCGCTCTTGACCAGCTGTATCCCATATTTGCAATTTGATTCGCTTGCTATCAAGCTCTATGGTCCTTATTTTGAAATCAATGCTGAAGAAAAAATAAACCATTCTAGTAAGATCAGAGGCATCTCCTCACGAGAGAGACAAAAGAAGAATAAGGAAAATGTAGAATAGGTGATTTCACAAAAAGGAACCTACCCAATGGTCGTGATAAAACTAGTTGTAAAAGATCCATCTGAGAAACGCAACAGAAGGCAACTTTTACCTACACCTGCCAAAGTGAACAAAGTAATGAGATACAAATTCAACCCCACAACATATATTCCCTAAATTAATAAAAGTATAAAACAAAAAGTGGAAAAAAAATATTAAACAAAAAAAAAAAGCGGATAGAAAGTCTTTCTCTCCTCCCACCATCACATTTTGATTAATAAGTGGTTTTTCAAACACGGGTGAGTTGGATGTTAAAATTAAAAGGGTAGTTACAAGTCAAAAACTAAACCAAAGAAGTGCCCACATTTTCCCCAATTTTGCCACTATTTGATAGCTACCAATTCAACAAACATCATAACAGGTAACTAATAACTAACCATAACCTTTTATTTCCTTTACATAGTCGTAATTTCATTGACAAAAAGGTACTACCTCCATTCATTACAGAAAACTTCTATGAATCTCTAGCATGACAGTTATCGCATTCCCTTGAATAGAGTACTAATCATCCATTTACCACTGAAAATCACAGAACCCAGTAAACTGACGCCGTAAATACACAAATCAGGTCAATTTTATGCCTAAACAAATAATTCAACAGAAAATAAAATAAAATAACCATTCAGAGACTTGCATAATAGTTCAACCATCACAAACCGGATCAAATCGAGAAACTCTAAAAAATTCAATTAAAAAAAAGTTGCAAAACGAAAAGTACCGCTATCGCCGATGAGAAGAAGCTTTATTAGGTAATCGTAATCGGCTCGTGCTCTTGCAGGTGGAGCAGCCATCGATCGAGATCAACGCAAGAGTAGAAAAATTAATTACGAAAAATTAAAAATTATATATGCGATTTTATTCCAAAGAATAACTGTAGAGTGAAGCATAAAAAATTCTGAAGTAGTTGAATAAAGAGAGAAAAATGAAAATAGCAGATTAGGAAGAAGAAGAAGAAAAAAAACAAGGTTGAGATCTGAAAGGAAAACGAAGAGTGGCGTTGAAAAGTGTTTTTTTGGTAAAAGGAAATTGCAAACACTCTGTCACTCAATTATTTCGCGTTCAGCGGGACCGTTACATACTTATTTTTTATATTTATTTATTTTTTTGAAAAAATATTTTTGCAATTATTGCAGATAAGTTATCTGTATTTATTCTCAAAATGACGTCATTTTAATATTGAAATCTTAAAAAATTATAAATATAAAGAATATTACAACCTTAAAATAAATTAAAATTATAAAAACATCATAATTTTTGCTCTAAAATAATATCGTATTGAACTTACTGCAAATAACTTATATGTATTAACACTAGAAAAAAGCAAATTTTTTCCCCTTATGATTAGATTTTAAACTTGCGTATATATGTTAAAACTGGTTAATTCGTCATGTATTAGTGAAAAAGGAAATATTACTCACATATTATATGAGAATAGTTCTTTTACGTTACAGAGAGAATTCAAGTGGGGTTCACAACTAAAAAGTAAAAAAAAAAAAGGGGGGGTGAAATTTTCAAATTGAGAGAACATGAGATAATTATTTTATGTAAAATAAGAATAGTATTTTTCTAGTTTAAAAGGTCTAAAGTTATTTTACAAAATTTTATTTGTTCATTAAAATACACACATGAAAATGTGTACGATTCACATTTTTTTTCTCTCTCTTCTCTTCTCTTCTCATTGGTCCATATGGACCCACATACTTTTATATGTGTATGTTAATGAACATTAGATAAAGTTATCTAAAGCAAAATTAGAAACTCAAAACCCTAGTTTAAAATATGGTGATCTATGATAGGTTAACCCATTTTATTTTTTTTAGTGAGTTGGAAAGATTATTAATTAAAATATATAATTCCTCTAAAAAATTCTCAAAGGGATTAAGAGATCTTCCCTGATCCTAGTAGAGTACCGGTGTCTAATCCCGCTTAAACTTCTACTTAAAAACAAAAAAAAAAAAATTGTTTTCAAGTTCTAAGTCACATGTTATGTTATGGGTGCTATTTTTTTTTCCAACATAATTTTTCATGAAAAATTACTTCTCTCATGACTTTTTAACATTTGGCTTCTAAATATTAGTTAAAAAGAATAAAAAGTGTGTCTGTCCAAACAATTACAATTAATGAGAAATGTAATACATTTTATTAATTCGTTGAAATTTAAAAAGAAATGCATAAACGAATATAAACATAGGCTAGCTGTATTGAAAACTAAACCCTTGGAAAGGTATTTGTTTTATTTTGGTGATACAGATGTCCAGTCCAATGGACTGGTATGCTGATCTTGGATCTAGTGCCCTCTCCAAAGTATCTATGAAAGAGATACCCTTGAGTAAAGTAAATCACTGTGCACAGTAAACAAGTGACAGCTTTGCCAAAGGGGGTGTGTGTGCGCACAGTGACAACATAACAGTAAGAGAGAGAGCGTAACGTACCTTTAGGGTTTACCTCTTATTTATAGGAGTAACCTGTGGGTAATATGATGTGGACCTTTAGTGCCTCTGATGAGCCCCAGGTCTGTCTGTCATGTTGTTGTATTAGGATTAGTATCCTTGATGGATATCTATCCATAATTATGCTTGACTTAAATCTTGGATTGCCCCTTGTTGGGCCTGTCATTCAATGGGCCCCTTATACAGGTCCATAACAGTTGCCCCGTAGCCAGGCTATTTGGGTGCCCGGGTTGCCGGGGTGAACTTCTTTGTATTTTGCTTCAGGTTTTCTACTGAGCTGAGAGCGTTTGTTTTTGTAACCCCTTTGCATATATGCTTCTTGCACCCAAGATTTTTCAATCGGGGTCCTCATTGCCCCTTATCTCGGCGGGTTGAGCATGAACCCGGGAAGATATCTCACGTATTCCCTATACCGAGTTACAAATGAGCTTGAGTTGTTGGAATCCAACTGGCGAGTTGCCCCCAAGCATCATTTCTTACACACATGTCTTCAGATATGTCCTGAGCTTGTAGCTTTCTTCTGGAACTGGGAATGGTTTCTCTCAGCCCCCATATGGGCGGGTTATGCATGAACCCGGCAAGATACTGCACATGTGTGACCGAGTTAGAAATGACCTTGAGTTGTTGGGATCCAACTGACGAGTTGCCCCAAGCATCATCCATGTAATTTGGCTAAACATTTGTTGTGTATGTGTGTTTTGATTTTTTTGGTGCCGACTTATCGTCAGCAATCATTTTATTCTGACACGTGTTGATTGTCGCGTGTGTTAACGTTTTCGCATTTCGTGCTCATTCATTAAATGTGTCATTTCAAGCGTCTAATCATTACTTTTTCGGTGTAATGACATTAGTGCCCCTGACTCTTGCCATTCGTAACTGTTGCAGTTACAATTATGCCTACAAAAGCACACATCTTTTTCCCCTTTTCGTTCTTTACTTTGATTATTCTGGAGAAGTTTTTGCTTGCCCCAAATCCTTTGAGCGCTAGCATCCGCAAGTGCTTTTCTGCATATTCTTGCAGGTTCGTCTTCTTCACTCAAGTATTATCGCTTTCCTTCAAACATCCCTTATCTTCTTCTTGAATAATCTGTATTTGGCTGTCTGCATTTTAGACATTGGCCATTTCTATTTTGGGTTTGATGTTCTTCAGACATTATTCTGGCAAATTGTTTGCTGGTTGATTTTCCTTCATGCTATGTCAATGCCCTTTGTTCGTAGAGTGTCGCATATTGCTTCACTTCTGGCATTTTAGCGTGTGTCACCCTTCTTCTGTCGTTTTTCCTTTATTTCTTTTAAATTTTGGTGTCATTTGGCTTTTAAAAAAAATGAGGGGGGAAAACCTCCTTCTTCAGTTTTGCATTGTGAGCGGAAGAAGGAGTAAGATTCTGACTTGTTGGAGAAGATTCCCCCTGGTGTTCGTTTCTGGCTGTGGGGGATTCCTAAAATTGAAGAAGAGGAAAGGGAAGCCATGTTTCGCGGTTATCGTGGTGGTAGATCCAAAAGAAGATCCGGGTTTCCTAGTCAGAAATTAGGTCAAAGCCGGGGTAGTGGTTCTTCCATCGGGGGTAGGAGTCGTCTTTCCGTGAATAGACGTATTCCCCAATACTTTCCGCATACCGGTCTTGAACCTTCCCGTTGCTCTTCTATAACAAACCCTGCATCTTCATCAACCCACCAGGGTGTTTCACAGTCTTTCCCTGCCTAGAAAGCCGGTCCTTGCTACTCTTGTGTCTTTCTGAGTTCCAAACTCATTGAACAAGGATGTGACTCTTTAGCCGAGTCTACTTTGGCTAATTGCCGACATGGAGATGTTCCGAAATCTACCCCCGCATCTGGTGAGGCAGATGATCCAATCATCGTCTCGAACAAACCTACCTCATTATCCTCTAGTGACTCTTCATCTAGTAGCCTTTTTGATTCAGGTATGCTCGTTCTGTCCTTCTGATTAAGTTCTTTTATTATTTTAGGTATTTATGGCATCTCCCCCCAGAGGTTGTAGAGGAGTCGGGTTCTGCCGAGTCGTATTCCGAGTCTCCTCCTGCCTCTTTAGTATCTCAGTTTTCCTGGGTAACTTACGAGGTTTTAAATACCACCTACGAGATGAGTACGGATGATGTGGCTGGGCTTCCCGTCAGGAAGTTAGAGAATTATGATATAGTCCCCCCACGAGAAGACGAGCCGGTTTGCTCTGGGGGAACTTCAGAAGATCCTTGCTTCTTTTTCTTCTATCGGAATGTCGTGACTCAACTCGGCATTACGTTTCCTTTTACCGAATTCCAGAATTCCAGATTGATATCTTGAATCACCTCCACATAGCTCCTACTCAGCTTCATCCCAATGCTTGGGGTTTCGTCAAGGCGTTCAAGCATTTTTGTGCATACCTCGCTCTGCCACCTTCTGTTTGCGTTTCCTTTTTCTTTTTTCAAGCACTTACCCCTCGAACTAGTCGTGAACCTCCAGAACGAAAAGGTTAGGTCACCATTCGGGGTGTCCTTGGTTGTAAAATTTTCCAAGTTTACACTAAGTTTTCAAGAACTTCAAAGACAAGTTCTTTAAAGTTTCCACGCATCCCGGCAAGGAGGTGTAGTTTCTCAATAACTGTGACTCCGAGCATGTGGAGGGAAAATTTCCCTTACATTGGTCATCTGACCACTATCACTTTCCTTCTTCAAGCTATCATTTCAAAGAGTCCGAGTTGAACCCCACTGATGTCAATAGTGTAATCGCCATGGGTGCATACATCCAGTCGCGCAGTCATGCTAGTGTTGCATCCCTTATCTAGAAGTCCCAAGAAGAGCTTGATAATGAAATAAGTATGTTTTGCTTTTACATTTATATGCACATTTGTTGTAATGCATCTCTTAACCAACTTCATTGCCTTTGATTTGTAGTTCCCGGCGTGGAAAACCAGCAGAATGAGCAACCCAGCTGGCTGGCCACCCTGAGCCAGGGAAAGAATGACCGTGTTGTCGATTCGACAATCAGGAAAAGGAAAGCCTCATACCTCAAGGTCAAGAAGCCTGTTGCTGACAAGGCAAACGGGATCCCGGATGATAAAGGCCATGTTGTTACTGTCAGCAATAAGAATAAGGGGGTCTCTGCTAATACTGGTGCCCCTGCCTCCTCTCAACAAGTGGTCAAGACTCCTCCCCCTCCTTCATCCACTGGGATGGCCAAACATGCTCTATGGCAGTCCAGGATAAGTGGTGCTCTATTTTCCCTCTCGAACCATTCTTCAGCTCATCTCATCCCAGATTAGGGAGCTGGAGGAGATGGAACTCAATTGCCTGAAGATGGCCTCAATGGCAAGACCTTTGCTTTCTTTAAAGCACAAATATCTTCGCACCCTCAACGAGGTAGCTGCATCCCGGGAGGAGAAGACGAAGACAGTTACATAGCTGATCAAGGTGAAGGAAGACTTTTCCTCCCTTAAAAAGGACCATGACCAAAACGCTGCAGATCTAGCCAAAGTGAAGGACGACTTTACCAACCTTCAGCGGGACAACAACCAACTTCAATACCTGTATGCCAGCAACTGCCAGAGCATGAAAGATTTTAAAATAAGGTATGAGGAGTTGGAG